TTAATTTTTTTATTTATTATAAACATTTTATTTTTATCAATTTGGAACTAAATTTCCTTCCCTCCGATATTAATATTTTGTTTTTCAAATTTGCGTAACGATCTTCAAGCCAATAAAATTTAATTTTGCGTGATATCTGGAGGGGAGATCGTCACATAATTTAGCCAATGAAATCAAATGTCCACTATGCTGTCGTTTTATAGAAAAAGAATATAGGTGTCAATTAATCCAGAAAAATCATCCTGATTTTGATATTTTTATTGATGACAATTCTTTTATAATTAAGTAAAAGAAAATCCTCCTAGTGATAAAATTTATGTCTTACCAGACTATAAAACTAATTGTAACACTACTGGTGATAATATTTATCATGTCAAAACCACTTCAGTGATTTAAAAGATGAAGATTTTGCCAAAGCAGCAGCAGAATATAAAACAATATTTCAAAAAATTTGGTGATAAATCTATTTGGTTATGAATAGCAGGTACAACTTTAATTTTAGGTTTTATGATTTCTATGATTTATGTTATTAAAAGGATTAAAAAGAAAAAATAGATAAGTGTTGTTACTGGAATTAGATTTTGATGCAGATCTTTTGGTTGATTCCAGGACAATTTTCTATTTTTATTTTTATTTTTATTTTTATTTTTTATTTTTATTAATTATTATTTAATCTATTCTTATTTATTATCATCTGAATTCGTGTTACATTTCGCGTATTTAATTATTATTATGAAATACTATTTTGACCCAAAAACAATTTAGACGCCCATCTATATGTGTTACATATTGACATGTCCCCCACTTTAATTGAACAATAAAGTTTTTTACTTTAAAAATTACGTTACACGCATAAAAAATTAGTGTAACATTTCGAATGTCCACCATGCTATATATATATTCTATATTTCACTCTATGGACTTCAATTGGAAATTTTCGAGGTACTACTCAGGGCCCTAAAAAGTCAAATTTATTATTATTATTATTAGTTTTTTTATTAAATATAATTGACAAAAAAAAAATATTATATTAATATATTTTTTATTTAACAAGTAAATTTTAACAAGGAAAATTTTTTTGATTAATTATTTTAAGTAATGTAAAAATTAAAATTAAAAATAAAAATTGTTAAAGTATGTCAATATGCAAAGATTATGAAGTTTTTTGTCGTGATTATGGAAAATTAAGGAAAGTCTAATTGTGTAAGTTTTTATTAAATAAATAGCAAAAATGATGCGGTAAAGATTACTGATGATATTAAGAAACTAAATGTGGAATGTGTATAGCGTGAGGTGTTGTAGTTTTTTAATTTTGTTGGTTGATTAACAAGAAATTCTCTTATAAAATCAACTTTATATGATTGATTGATTGAATATTTCTACAGCAAATATTTTTAAATCTCCTTGACAAGCTATCTCCGATATAGAAAAATGGATATAGAAAAATGGAAATAAATAATAAACACAGAATCATTCTCCAAATAATTGTTCTCAACTGCCACTACCATTCATTATTCCTACTATTGTTATCACTGTTGTTATTATTGTTGTTGTTATTATCGCCATTATTACTATTATTATTATTATATCGTTACTATTATACTATAATCAATACTCTAAAATCTATAAAAAGATAAATATTCATCTTTTCCAATAAATTATTTTGCTTCCTCCAAAAAATTTAAAATAAATAAATAATAAAACATTATCTAAAAATATTAAATTAATAATAATAATCAAAAATATATAATAACTCAATATCCACAAATCTTCATTTGTCTTTTTCCGACTCTTCCAAATCATTATTGACTATCTCTTTACTTTGTCTATATTTTTAAGGCATAGTATGTTTTACAATTAATTAAAGAAGCCTCTATCATCGAGAGGATTTATTATATGCGTGTGTGTTTTATGTTGATTAATTGAATTTTTTAAGAATGTAAAAAGAATTGTTGCGCAGAATATATTAAATATGAAGGAGGAAAGGGAGAAGAATCACCATGATGAATCCACAAACAAGCAAGCACGTTGAAAGACTATAAATGAGTGAATTACTTAAAGGAATGTGAATATATAACAAGCTATTATGTTTGAATGAAGATCGAACGAGTGAATGAGTGAGTGAATTATTAGCAGTTTAAAAGGAATGGATTGATTGATACATGGCGAGTTCTTCAAAATAATGGGGATAAACGAATGACAAAACAATTGATCGTGAAATTTTGGTGGTTAAAAAAAGGGGGTTGAATATTTGCGCAACAAATAAATTAATGTTTGGAATACGTGATTTTATCTAAAATAGAAAAGAACGGGGTAAAACAATATACAATTAAATTTTAAAAAATGATAATAATTAAAAAAGTGCATGGGTTAAAATAAAATATTTATATTTTAGAAAAAAAGGGTTTAAATATTTTTATGAAGGCAAAAAATTTTTTCAATTAAGATAATTATGTACATATATAAAGTAAACCCAAGCACGAATTTATAATAATGTCCATCCCATCAACCAAAAAAAATTAAAAACATTAATGATAAAAAATGATGATAAATTTTTGTTGATCAACAATCTATTATATGTAAATATAATACTGTTTTTGCCTGATTTAGGATTATATCCTCCATCTAGTACTAAAACGTGAGGTTGAATTGTTACGGGCAGGCTTACGAAGAAGTATGGATGCTGCATTATTTTTTTTTGTGCGCCATAATGTTAGACCGTTATTATTTTTGTTTAGTTGAGAGCTGTTTTTTTTAAGCTCTTCTTGTTGTAAATGTTCACTACTTGTTGTTGTTGAAGTTGGTCTTGGAGAAGCAGATCTAGGTAATGTGGGTAATGTAGGAACCCTTGCAAGAGAACTGAGTGGGATTGTCATAGACTTTCTTGTTGAGGCGCGTTTTTGTAATTTCTGTTGGGGATTTAATAAATTTGAATTTTTATTATCATCATCGTTGCCGTCGTCATTGTTGTTGCCATCTGGTGACGATAATCCAATCCCATTATTATTTGTATTTTCTTGTTGATTTGGATGTTTATATGGCTCAGTGCTAGGAGCAGTATTAGGTAATGCACAAAAAAGAAGACATACACGTTCTTGTTCAGTATTCCAATGTGGACAACATAAACGATATTCCAAAGGAATTTGATTGTCACTTTTCTCAAAAAATTTGCCTCTTTTAACAAAACTTTCGAAATAAGGCCCCCCACAGAAACTGCATTTTTTTGCACTGGCAAGATAATCCTTGAGAGCGTCAGTAGTATCTTCCAAAATAGGAATTTGAAGTCTAACAATGGTACGTGCAGCAAGTTCCATGAGCGATGGGGGTGAATGCTTAAGTTCATGTACAAATTCAGTTTTCAATGGACATCCATCAGTACGAAGTTTACGTAGATATTGAAGACGGCCAAGTTCTGCAGGTAAAACTGTGATTTGATTATTACGAATGTCTAGATTGATCAAAGTTTTTAATTGACCTATTTCTGGTGGTAATTCTATTAATCTATTATCCTCTAGGTATAACTGTTCAAGTTTTTTTAGTGAGCCGATTGAAGCCGGTATTGAAGTCAATAGATTTCCTGACAAATTTATAACTTTCAATTTATCTAAAAATCCAATAGTGTCAGGAATTGATTTTAATTTATTTTTATGAAAATTAAGTGATACCAAACTTCTCATATATCCAATTTCAGCTGGTATTTCTGATAATTCATTACAACATCTATTTATTTATTAATAAAAATATAATAACAATAATAATAATTATTGTTATTACAAATTAATAGTTGTTTTATTATAAATTGATAATTGCCTTATTATAATAATTACTTACATTTGTAAACAAGTAGTTGTGTATAGAAAGCAAATATTAGGACTTAATTTAACTAAACCCCAACAACAAAATGTAATGGAATATAAATCTTGTATTTCACTGAATAATATAGCATTAAATGAGTTATTAGGATCGCATTCTTCAGGCAGTAGTCCTTTAACTCCATGGCAACAAGAATTTGATTCATGATCATGTGGACAAAGCCAACAAGTAATCTCGTCATCTTGTTTTATATCGTTATCAATAGTAGATTCAGAAGAGATAGTATCGTTAGCCAAAGTATTTATAGAAGAAGTTTCTCCAGTCGGCGGTGGTGATATTATTGTGATGTCATTAGGTAAATTTTGTATATTATTGTTAAAGTCTTCGTTGAAAACTGATTCAGAATTAGTAGTTATGGATGAATGTACATTGTTACCTCTTATTATTGAAAGGCTAGTACTAGTTATATGTTGTGTTTGTTGATGTTTTGTCGACACATAAGCGATAGGTAAACGACCTTGTTCTTTTGTTATTTGTGCTCCCATGTTTAATTATTATTAAGCTTATCTCGTTACTTGTTAAAAATTTCTTTATTATTAATCTTGGGAGAAATGTTGAATTGAATGAATGTCGAGATGAAAAAGGGAATAATATTCTTTTTTTAAAACAATATGTGAATGTGTTGAAAAGATGAAAAAAAGGATTTTGTTTACTGAAATAAATAATATATGTATATATTCTTCTTTCGTAGAACTAATTATTTGACTTTAAATTAATATTATGATAAATTATAAACCAATAATTAATTTTAATAAAAAGTAAAGTTATTAACAAAGAAATAAGCCTAATAATATTATTTATTATTTTAGAAACAAAAAAAAATAAAAAATTTTTAAAAATAAAATAAAAATATATTCTGTATAATAAATAATATAAATATAAATAATTGTATGCTTGTTAGGAGCAAAGATGTTTCAGAGTTAAGTTTTATATATTATATAATAGAGAATATATAATAGAAATATAAAAAGGAAGTTTTGAGGTTATTATTAAGTATTTATATATAAATATGGAAAGGAAAGAAAAGTAAAAATATGGTAATAATAAATAACTATTATAATAATGAAAAGAAATTTTTTTTTTTGGATTTAATTTGCATTATTGTAAATGAAACCATTTATTTATTCGTACGTATATGTATTGTATTTGAAAAACGATTTTTAATAATTAAATTTGGTAAATTTGTATCACAAGTTTTTAATTACACAAAAATTAATTTCTAAAATGGGACATGCTGCAACAAAACCAGACAAAGTGAACATTGGTATTACAAGTATTTCAGGGATTAAAATTTATTTTTTTCCTCTTTTAAATATTTTCTATTTACAATATTTGTTTATACTAAAATAGTATTCATAATAGTTTGGTACATAAACATTAAAAAAATTATAATTGATTAATTGTAATATAACCAGTTAGAAGAACTATTGTGGAAGAGTAGTCATAACCCAAAAGTAACTTATATTAGAATGAATTATATGTATAACTAAAATTATTTAACAATATAAAAAATTAATTTGACTTTGAGCCAATAATAGCAATCTTGATTAATTTTGGTGAAGGGATGGGAATTCTGGTATAAGTAGAACGTGATGAGCTAGATGATGTATCAGATGATGTATCAGATGCGATTACTTTCAATACCTTGTTAATATGATCCTTAAAATCATAAAGTGTTAAATGGTTTTATGACAATTTGTGCACTAAAGAAGTAAATAAAAATTATTATCTATCACTTACTTTAACATTATACAATGCTTCTAACACTGGTATTAAACATAAGAATTGTGCTTGTTCTGTTGGTGTCACTACATTTGCCATCAAGAACATTCTATATATTCCGTCATGGTTTATATCCATTTCATATATGCGGATACGTGCACCTATAAATGCAATCCAAAGCATATTAATAAATGCATTAAAAAGATATGCCAAATTTAACCACTCACCACAAATCCAAATACCAAAAGAAGTCAAGCCACTCCTGTTTCCATATTTTTTGATCAACTCATCTAAGGCACTTGATTGAAAATTGGAGAGTTTGACAAAATCTTTATTAACCAATAAAGATGATGAGTCTTTTGTCTTGACTTCACCAAAAAGGATCTCTTCTTTTGTATTGGCCACAATTTTAAAATCTGGCTTTTCGCCTCGAAGGTTTTCTTTGTTGCTAGAACTGTTAGACCGCTGATTTTTTGAAACAAGACTTTCACTGTTCGCCCTTTTTAAGCCAGACATTAATTATATGATTTAACACCAATAACTCAACAAATTACAAATAAAAAAACTCTTACCAGATTAACTCAAACATTGAATCACGGAAAATCTCTTTAAGTAAATCATGCAAAGTTTCATGAACAAAGGTATCCTCATTATTGGTATTCACGCATTTTGTTCTTAGCAATAAACTGTAAAAAATCATTTCATTAAGTGTCATGCTAATTATGATTTATAATTAAATGGTACAAAACTTACAAATTTCGAAAAATAATTTGAGCTTGACAAAATTTGTCTTTATCTTCCTGATCAGTCAACCCTGCAATCTTGGAAAAGTTATTGCACCACGTATCTTGAATAACATTTAATGGTGTAAACGAATTTAACATCTAGAGTTAAAAAGAAAAATATTTAATGTCCATTTCTTGTAATCTAGCTCCAAGTCTAAAAGAAGAATGTAAAAACTTACAGAAGAATATTCAAGAGCTATATTAGTTACCACTGGTGCCAAACTCGGTGGTAATTTTCTTTGATAGATTTGGTCCCAAATAGTTTGTGTGACTGTAAGAAACGATGGTTTTATGTGTTCTATGAGCATTATATTCGAAAGAGACCTATTTTAATGTAAGGATGATAATAAATACAATGATAAATATAGCCATAAAAAACTCTGATCTGGGTTGCAATACAATACTTACAGAATTTTTTGGATATCAGCTTTATAGCATAGGATTGGATTTTTTTTAATCTGTTCAATTGTCAATTTTTGAAATTTTCGGAACTCTGAAGAGAGATTATAAGTCTCATAGACCCACTAAAAAAAAATAGTCATGCCTAGTAAATAAATGCAATGAATGTAGCAAACTATATAGTGTATATATTTACATCATCTTTAGAGGTAGACCTAAAATCAATCTGATCAATAACGTTCTCCCATGAATAATGTATTCGGTATCGTTCTAACAAATTTATGGTTAGTACACATCAATGTATTGATTTTGCTTCCATCTGATAAATGACAATACCTTTTTTGGTTAATGACTCTTGAGCATTAAAATATTCAGAATCAACAACACCTATAATCACAAAAGCTATATTAATCTCTCAAAAATGTTGCAAACTAGGATGCTTTACTACCTTCATTAGAACTGAAATTAGAAGATAGACCTGACTGAGACAAAGATGAATTGTTATTTCCTTCCTTTGTTTTTAAATCGGTAACATTGTTATGATCGGACTCAACAAGACAAGGCTTTTTTGAATGTACGTGGTTACTATTCCTAGGAATGATATAATGCAAATTAACTAGAGTGACAACAAGTGGCAGGCGATAACCACCACCACCATTCTTAAAACACTTACTTAGCAACAGCCTCATCAGCATTGATTTGTTGTCTTCGCTTGTTTTTTTGTTTTTCCGTTCTAGACATATTTTTTTTGAAAAGAAAAAAAAGAAGTTTGACAAACGTGTACATTAACTAGAGTGACGATGGGTGGCGGGTGATAACCACCACCACCATCCTTAAAACACTTACCCGCCAGCAACATCTTCACGCTCATCTTGTTTGTTTCTTTTTTTCGATTCTTTACGTAGTGGCATGATTTTTTAAAAAATAAATAAAAATAAGTTTGTTATTTGATCGACGCGTACAAGCTAATTATTTATCCTATTGGTTTTTTTTTTCTGGTAGGACAGACGCGAATTGATTGATTGGTTTTTTTTTTTTGGAAAAACAAAAAACAATTTATTTTTTGACAGAGTCCAAGGTGACAAAACGTGAGTGTTGTTGTTTGGTTTGGTTTTGGTTGGGTCTCCTAAAGAAAACGTGTTAATAACTAACCAGAGGTACTATTTTTTATTTGTATTGATTGATATTTTTATTTTATTATAAATATTTTAATTGGAAATCAAAACGCGGAGCAGATCTTGCTGAGGTAATTACAAGATTTTCATTGATAATATTTTGCTTTTCGTAATCAATATTAATATCATTATAAATATTATAATCACAAGAAGGTGTCAAGGCAGCATGACTGACTGTTACAGAAGAAACATTTCAAATATGCAACGTTTGATTATCGAAAATTTACAAGTGTTGAAGCACGCACGCTATCTTGAACACTTACAGTCATTCTCACATCTTCCTCATGTTCAAAAGGCTAATCTGACCAAGATTTCCCCGATTATACAATGATGCTACTGAATTCCAGGGGGGGACCACATGGTCCTGAAGTTTATCATGATTGCATCAATCGTCAAAGACACTTTCACTAATCTTCCCTCACAGCATCCAGACCAGAGAAGGCCGCTGGCATGCTAGCCGAAAAGTCACCTGCAACGATCCCACCTCTAGGGTAAGGGTGGCACTGTGATCAAGTCACAACTCTGGAGGAATATTAAGAAAATCTGCAACTCACTCAAGCACAAGAGGTCGCAATTCAGAGCAGGGTTGGTGGCCCTGAAATTGCATCTGGACTCTGATGTTAAGAGGAAAGTTGTAAAATAGTGTCTGTTTTGTATAATCACTTTCATAAATTCTCTCTTTCTCTGATATTAACTAATTTATGATTTTGGGTAGGGGACTGGATTGGGTTTTTGCCCAATCAGTCCTCTGTTGTATAGATTAAAATCATTGCATGATTATATACATCTTTGTCAGCAATATGGCCAATGAGAAATAGTCATAAAATGGTTTGGATTTTGGTATGTGATGTTATAAATTAATCATTTTCATAAATTTTCTGCTTCTCTAAACTTTATTTGACCAACTGAACTTGTTGTTTAAATGTGGTAGGGTTGTTGGCATGTTGATGTACCTAAATTTAGGGAAAATCTAAAACAGCAACCCAGGTTCCAACATCCTGAGTTGCAGGTGCCAACTTTGTACTTGAGGTGTATAACATAAAGTAATCATCACAAAAGCAGTGATCAATGCCCATATGATAACAGCCAAGCCTGGTCTGAGGGGAGGATAAGGAAAAGTTTTGTCCAAAGCCTTCCAACATGTCCAAGTTGCTCTCACTCATGGAAAAAAGGTCCACAGTGCAGGAGGGTGCTTTGCACAATGCTTGCATGTTTGTGACAGGAAAATTTTATTAAATCTGACACCTGCAATCAACATCAGATTTATTATTCATAAAGAACTACAATTGATAATCAGGAAAAGTAATTTATTTTGTGAACCAGGTAGACACACATTGTTAAGAGTTTCAATATGCATGGCCCTGGTATCATTACTACCTGGGTGATGCAATTGTTTGTTATGTCAATGATGATATCAAATGTATCAAATAATCATCATG